CCTCCTATCCTGAAGTCAGCTAATTTCCTATGTGCCTCTGCCATATCTTATCCTTTTGTTGACTGCTGTCGACTGAAAAGTGGTATTTGCTCATGAAGCTACCGGATTTCTCCCAGCAAAGTGCATGAAACCGCGGCTGATCTACAGTTCAACTTTCAGTTGCTCTTTCAACTGCCCACCTCAGTTTCTGTGTTTGGCTTCTACATTCTTAGTTCAGCTCCCTTCCTTGTTCTTTTGTCTTTTAATATTTGCCCAAGTAAAGGAGAGACCAGAGCAAATGATAGTGAAAGGGAGCATCAGAAATGAGCCCTCTGCCTGCTGGCCACACATAGCTGTGCCTGTCATTCTCCACAGCCAGGGCTATCAGGAGCAGGGATGGTGAAATCCTGTGCTACACGCTGCCACTTGTCCACACCCACCTAGGCTCATTTCTGAGCAAAAGTGCTTGCACTACTCAAGTTGCAGCTCCTTGTCAGTTTTGCCTTTCTTCCTCCCGCCATCCCTCCTCTGCCTGCAAGTATTTGTGTCTCAAGAGCATGTAATTTGCTGGTGCGGAAGACCACCAGTGGCCTTTTTTCCTTTTGGCACGCAGCCCCCACACACACCTGCAATATTCTTGCCAGCCCTGCAGTGTTGGAGCTGAAGCGTACTGGCATTGCTCTCTGCTTGGCAGATGAGACCAGAGCATCGTCTGTGTTTACTGTGTACCTGCTGGACCAGGCTGCTGCCGAAGCAGCAGAAAGGGAAGGTGTGTTTAACCTGACTTACCTTGGGCTGGAGACCCCTGTGCACATAGCGATGGAGAGCCTCAGCCCTCTAGTTGGGTTTCAGTCAGTCTCTAGGGCTATACGGAGGACTCTGAGGCCTTATGTGATGTACAGCAAAGTGCTCGGATCCATTGATAATGTTTGCCACACTCATGGGGGTAGGGCAGGACGATCCTTGCATTTTGTGTCTGGCAACTCTTCCCCAGTTGCATAGGACACTTGATCTTAGCCAAAAAGGGACAAGCCCCGGTTGCATAATACTGTTGGCACATTTGAAAATGTCCTCAAGACTAAGGGCATTTCAAATAAATTGGGTTTTCTTTGCCTAGTAGAAGCAGGGTTCCTTCACTGGTAGAAAGCACTGAGGAACGGGGCTGTCAGCCATCATGCAGGTGCTTGATCACAGGCGTGGACTCAGTCGGGCATCGTTCACCGCCGTCTGCTTTGCTAGGCGTGTCAGAGGATCAGAGCTGCGAGCTCACGGTGTGAGATGTTTTACTGCTCAAGTAATGCCAGGACCCCACTTTCAGAACGGCATCATCCAGTGTTTCTGAGCAAGCCACAGACCCAGAACAAGCGTGTTGGCATGTTCTGTGTTCTCTGTGAGCCTACCGCATTGGCCAGAAAAGCCCCAGCACATAGCTGTACACAGTAAGGCTGCTCTTATTTTAGCTCAGATGCCCAGATACTTGCCTTGTGGCCAGAGCCCAGTGAGATGGAGTACAGCTCATCAATGTCTTCTGACTCTTCCGTCAGGAAATGGTTAGTCTGACTGCCCCAAGTGGGAGGAAGAAGACCACAAGTTCTTATATAAATATTTTCACTATGATTAACTTTTAATGACTTGAGCCTGCGTTTACTGGTTTGTTTCTGTTTCTTCATGCGTGTCAGTAAGAAAGAGAGTAGGATCTATGTAGAAGTGTTACTGGACTCAAAATTTCAACTGAATGAAGTGGTGACAGTGATTTTCCTTCTGTAAAAGCATATTGTTTTCATCCAAATAATCTTTGAGTGTTTTTTAATTCTTTCACTTAAGAAACATTTATTGAATGCTGCTGTTGCTGTGGGCACTCGGCATGCATCTATGGAACAAAAACCCAAAAAGAAACCTCTGCCTCGGAAGAGTTTTTGATTTTTCCCTCCAGTATTTCATAAAGTTATATATAAGCAGTTAGTCATTTTTCACAGTATATTTCTTTTTTTAGTGAATTATGGAAGATTGTGATTTTTTAGTTTGATTAAATGCGAGCTCCTGTTTTTGCAGGGTTTCTGATATAAGGTTTGCTTTATTTTGTTAGAGTTGAAATAGTAGTTTCCAGTGAGAGTTTTCATTGGTTTTAGGCCCTGTTTCTCTTTCAAGCTTCTAAGGAAAAATGTTTTGCATTTCATGTTATTTTTTTTTCATTGCCCTTCCTAGCATCCTGTTCTAAGGAAAGCATTCTGGGTTCCATGCTGGTCACATCGATGTAAGGAAAACAGCTGTTACACTGCTTCGAGGACATAGCTATACATTTTTTATTCTACATAAGTCAGTGTCTTTCAAGCTTGACTCTATTAATAGTTGGGCTTGAGTGACTCCTTAGCAGCGAGGCGGTTCCGCGCCTTGCCAGGTGCTTAGCAGCATCTCTGGTTTCTGCCTGTTAGGAGCGAGGAGCCCCCCTAGCAGCCTGCCCCCTTCCCTACCACTGTACAGCCAACACTGCCCAAAGCGCTGGGTGTGGTGGCACCCAGCTGGGATCCCAGCCATGCGGGAGGCTGAGGAACGAGGATCACAGGGGTGAGCCCAAACTGGTAATTTAGCAATATCCTGTCTGAAAATTTTAAAAAAGGTGAAAGGCTGGGGTTGTAGCTATAGGTGAAGGCCCTGGGTTAATTCCCAGTACCATTACTAGCATGAAACATTGCTTAACATGTCTCTAGGCAGGGAGAGGGTGGCAAAGTCACTCTCAGATGAAACCCGTGGGTGTAAATATGGGAAGCTGTGATCCAGGTCTTCCATCCCCTGATTACAACAGCTCAGTGACCGCCCCTCCCCAACAAAAAAGTAGACACCCAAGAAATGTTTTCTAGGGGCCAGGGAGATGACTCAGTGGAATAAGTGCTTCCCAGACAAGCACAAGGGCCTGAGTTCAATCCCCGATTCCACCACAAAAAAAAAAAAAAAAAAAAGAAAAAGAAATGTTTTCTGTTTGGCATTTTGAGGTGTCCAGAACAAATTTCCGTATGAAAGAGTTAATATAAAGCAAACAAGATATTTATCAGTCTGATGAAGCAACATCAACAAGTGATGAAATGCCTTCAGTAAACCATGCCTTGGAGATATTTTGCATTTCCTATTGGAAACTTGTTAAAATCATTCATTTACCATAAAATAGAAAGCCTGTTGGACACAGTATATAGTAAGTTAATCTCAAATGATTTATGAGGAAATGTGTTCCAGATTGGGTGATCTCAGCCCAAGCAGGAGGCAGCTTGTTCCCAGACATTCCCATCCTCATGAAGGGCGTTCTATTCAGTAAGCTTAAGCATGCATTGAAAGTGAACTCAGAGAGGGCTGTAGCATGGTCTGAGGCTACTTGTAAAATCTGGCCCAAAGGTGCTTAAAAGAGCATCCAGGGCCTCCCTGCTCTGTGTAGCAGCTTCCGCAGCATTTTGCAGAAAACATGTCTTGCCTTTCCCCCTGGTTGCCTCAAACTTCTTCCTGCCCTGCGCCAGCTCTTCCTTACCCAGGGAATATTTATCATTACACATTATGTCATATGTTTCTTACTTTGTTTGTTCCCAAATGGGCTGGTTTTCAGAGTTTTGGCAGGGACAATACCGAAAGTCCTATTACTCTCTTATCAGCTTGCCGTCCAAAGTGGGGACATTTAGCCACCTTGCCTTGTATTTCTGAATCTTCTTCATTCCTCACGTATATGCCAATAAATGGGAAAGTGTGGAGCACAGTGCTGGTGCAGTCACTGGAATGAAGGTTGCCTTTAGGACAGAGTGAAATAAAGGGTGAAAGAGAAGCATGATGGGCTACATAATCTTCACTTATTGCATTATTTATTGAGCATCTACTGTGTTCCAGGCACTGCCAATGTGTCTACAAGGAAATGAACTGGAGCTTGTTTTCCTGGAACTTGTGGTCCTTTGGGCGATGAGACAGGTGTTTGAATGTAGGAGCATTTAGGAAAAGCACTACTCCAGCAGAAGGAATCAGAGAAGGCTTTGTAGAGGGAGTGACCTTTTAACAGGATTCGAAGAAGTGACTGTTTCTCAAAGAAGAGAGAGAAAGGGTATTCAAGGTTGTGATCCCAGGTCTGAAGGTGAGCAGGACAACACAGAATCTCGGAGGAACTAAATGCTGGCCTGTTGGAATGGGAACCTGGGAGACAGGAGGGTGGGATGCGAACCAAGGAGCAGAGGAGGCTGCTTCTGGGGTTGCAGCTCAAGCAGCTGGGTCTTTGTGGTGCTGTTTCCTGGGATGAGGGGTTGAGAGGAAGGGGCTTGTGGAGGGTGAAGTGGCAGTGACTTGGGCTCTTACTCCACCAGTAACTGCATAATGCAGAAATTATTTTTAAAAAAATTTTTGAAGGAAATCAAAAGCTAATGGAGATTTGAGAAGTTAATTAGCAGCATTCAATGATTACTTGCTGTGGGCCAGCAGGACATCCAGCAAGTAGATGTGGCCCCGAGGTTCTGCCAGTTTCCCACTCAGTGGCTGGTTGGTCATCTTATCCCTGAAGGATGGGTACCTGGGAGTGGAGAAGACAGGCGCATTGTTTGGGACTATATTCTGGCTTTTCCAGCGCTCCTAGTTCTCCTGCATTTTCTTGGCCATGATGGAAGTCTTTATTCTAGTATCGCACAGCCTTGTTTCCCACAGCATATTCTATTTTTTGAGATGACAAAGGAAGCATGACAAGTGTCACTGGAGTACCCTTAGGCAGCTGTATAATGTTACAGAGTTTTAAGGGGTGCAGGGCCCACTTAGGAAAATTGCTGCATGGTGAACATTGTTCTCCGTGACGCCGTCATCCAGAGCAAAACGTGCCTGTGAATCAGGGGAGCTGAGATTCCTCTGGCCATCAGCCCGCCAGAGACACTGTGCTGTCATTCTTCACGTTCTCCACAGACCTCAGGTACCTAAGGACACGCCTGCCAATTACTCCTCTGTGGAAGCCACGTGTCCGAGCACTAGGGAGCATCCAAGTTCATTGCCCCCCCCCCTTCTCTTGTCTGCAGGAATTTAGATAATGGGCTGTGTGCAATGTAAGGACAAAGAAGCAACAAAACTGACAGAGGAGAGGGATGGCAGCCTGAACCAGAGCTCCGGGTACCGCTATGGCACAGACCCCACCCCACAGCACTACCCCAGCTTCGGTGTGACCTCCATCCCGAACTACAACAACTTCCACGCAGCGGGAGGCCAGGGGCTCACCGTCTTTGGAGGGGTGAACTCCTCGTCTCACACTGGGACCTTGCGTACGAGAGGAGGCACAGGTAAGCCCTGCTGTCAGCTCGTGGGTCCAGGCCACTGCAGGGAGGGGTGGTGGCTACTCCTGACTCTGGGCGTGGTGGAGCACGTAGGCCTGGTCACAGCCTTTGACCAGGGTCTGAGCACACAGGTACCTAGGCAGTTTCTCCCTGTCCGCTACCAAGAAGGGGCCTTTTATTTAAAGACCCAAAGTTTAATATACAGGTAAGTGCTTGGCTGCAGGGCAGCAGGGACCCAATGGCACTGCTCTGTGAGGATTCCACACACATTAGTGAGCTGTAGCCCTCTGGACATGGAAGCCCAGGTGCGTCCAGAGTGACCAGGCCACCTTGTTCAAAACGCAGATGCCTGGCCCCATTCCCACATCTTTTGAATCAGAAGCTCCTAAACTGACCTTGGCTGTATTTTGAAATCTCCACTTACCTGCTCGCTTCCCTCTGCCTCCCTCACCACTTCTGGTGAGTAGTGCTTTCCCACTTCTCTTCCTAGTCTTTAGCTTGCCTGTCACTTCCTGGCCTGGCCAGAGGGGCCGTTTGAAAACATTGCATTTTGACTACTTCTCACTCTAATATTTCTATTATCTTCCACATGCCTGAGATTCTCAGCACTCAGATTCTCTATTCATCCTTTTATTTTATTCTATTCTTTGTGCATATAGTTTTTTTGTTGTTTGTTTGGTTAGTTTGGTTTGGTTTTTGTTTTATAAGACAGGGGCTCACTATGTAGTTAAGACTGGCCTTGACCTGTGTAGTCCAGGCGGGCCTTAAAGTTATGGTGATCCTCTTGCCTCAGCATCCCAAGTGCTGGGATTACAGATGTGCACCACTGGGCCTACCTGAGTGTATATTTTCAAGTTGAGTCTTGTGTATGTTTAAGAGACCAATTTCCTGCTTTATTTTATTCTTATTTTTTATTTATTTATTTATTTATTTATTTATTTATTTGGTGTCTTACCTTTCACACTAAAAGGCTTTACTGTCATATGTGTTTGCTGACTTGGCTAATACTGCATAAGAATATCTGACGTACATTCTCAGAAATATGTTTTCCAAAATATTTGTGAGTTATCTCACGTATTCTTAGTCTTTTCCCAGTATGTGAGCCACAGTAACTAGATATTTGACATTTTTTTTCCAAAACTGTTTTATTACAAAAGTGTAAACAATGTAATATATCTTGGCTTATTTAAGAGTAGATGTCTCATGCCTTATATAATAACTTATTATTCCTTTTTACCTGGGGAACTGGCACTACTGAGGCATTACCCAGGATTCCCTGCCTCTATATCTAGTTCATGACAGTGCACTTGTGTCAGGGGACCCAACCTGGCATTTGAGCATCAGCTTCCTCTCCTGTAACAGCACATCTCGCTCTGCCCAACAGGAAATATCTCTGTTCACCCTTCGCTGTGGTTACTCCAGTTTTCCCTTGCAGCCACGCCTGGTGTGTTATGTCCTTCTGCCTTCCTAGAAGGTACCTGAAAGGTAGTCCTGCCCTGCCCCTCCTGGCTCTTAAGGATACAGAGAAGTACAAGACACACACAGACCTCTCTGCTGTGAGAGGGAGGAGGGCACTGCAGCCCTCACTTAACGCTGCGACACAGGCATCTTTCCTGCTCATTCCTTCATGCAGACTTTCTGTGAAGCCCGGGGTCTGCAGGTATCATTCATTCAGGTCACTGGAGAGGGCTGCTTGCCCCGAATGTGTGCATGTGTACTGCAGTGAGGACAGTCTCAGCTGGACCACGGTGCCCCCAGATGTTGGCAAATTTTCCTGTCTTTTGTTAACCTGATTTTATTGTATGTGTGTGTCCTTTCTCTAAATGCTGCTTTCAGTCCCTTACGGCCAAATGCAGCCAGCCACATCTTCTCTGCATGCACCATGATTTCCTCCTCAGCTCCAGGAACGCAGAAATCCTCAGCGAAGGGAAGACTGTTAGCAGATGCAGGAAAAGAGCAGGAACTCCTTTGTGTGCCCTTCCTCCTCCTGCAGAGCTGGCTTGGCTGTTTTAAAGCAATGTGATGAAGGAGATCCGCTGATAGAGTATAAATAAGAATAGTTGTAAACTTAGAGGTACCCACAGGTTTTAAAACCAGTGTCTTCTCTAACTTTCCAAAGAAGTCTAAAAGGCAGACGGTTGCCAGTGAGCCTGGCCCGCATTATCAGGCCACTAGGGCCAGCTCTCCTGCCCCTTGGGGTGCGTACTCCTCTCTGGCTCTTGAATACTCCCACAGGGACATCCATTCCCTTCAGCACTCAGCAGTAGGGCAGCTCTCCAGAAGAGTAGGCTGCGTGCTGCTGGGCACTTTCAGGCACCGTCGGGTGTGAGGATCAAAATGAGAAGCCAGGTGCAGAGTGATGAGCTTTTCTAGGTATCAATCCCTATGCTAACACTGCCATAAAACATAGCCACTTAAACAACACACACTTACTTTGCACAGTTTCAGGAATCTGGGAGCGATTTAGCAGGGCACTTGGCCTCAGGGTCCCTCTCAGACTGCAGCCCGGGTGTGCTGGCCTGCTGTTATCATCTTGCAACTCAACTGAGAATCCTCTCCCTCCAGGCTCACGTGGCATTGGTAGGATTCAGTTCCCTGCTGGCAGTCGCCTGGTTCTGTGTCACGTAGGCCTTGCCAATGTGGCACTTGGTGTCATCAAAGCGTACAAGCTCATATAGCAATAGAAAGTTACTGAGAAGATACAAGTCATCATCTCCTGACACCTACCACTGAAGGGACATGTCATCTTTGTATGCTCTGTTGGTTACCAGTGAGTCTGTAGGTTGAGCCCATTCTCAAGGGAAGAAGATTGTAAAAGGCCAGGAATCCTAGAGGCCTTGCTGAGCACTTTCGCAGAATCCTCCCTATTTGAGGAACGCAATCTGCATCAAATGGCACTTGGGACATTTTTTACTATGGATAGCAAATTTCTGTAAAGCTGCAAGGACCCCTGGGAGGAGTCAGTCAGATGAGAAGACGTAGGGGAAGCGTGAGGAAGAGTGGGTGCTCTACGGAAGTGCAAAGAGGGGTCGGTTTGGATGAGCGAAACAGGAACTCCATGAGCAGCAGTGGGACTAAGCAGCTAAAAATTACAAAAGCCGTCCCAGACACGAAAGGCGAGGCACATTCATCCACTTGGATGAACAGTGCAGAAGGAGTCTTCTCTATATTTTCTCATATTATAGAAAAACTTGCCTGTTACTTTGTACATCAGTGCTGTACTGGAGGAGTGATTGGTTTTACCCAGAATCTAACTGGGGCTCCTAAGTGGAAGAGAACATGTTTGGGATAAAGGGTGCCAGTATTTGCTACCGATGCCTGTAAATCTGAACCCTACCACTGTGCTGCCCTGCCCTCTCATTCTGGACGTGATGTTCATGTCTGTCTGCTCCTCAGGACTCCTTCAAAGATATACAAAGTCCTTCACCTTTAGGTGTTTATCACATCAGATAGAGTCCCCTGCAGAGACCAAGGCATGCATTCAGCCCTGCAATGCTGACTTTTCCACATTCATTACAACTTCATAAAATTGTCCGTGCTGACTAAACAGATTTTGAGGATGAGATGTTAGCAAAGGTGCAGTTTATTGCAATTTGTTTCTCCTTAGGTAATAAGCGCTTTCTTTGTCTTGTCAGGAGTGACACTCTTTGTGGCTCTTTATGACTATGAAGCACGGACAGAAGATGACTTGAGCTTCCACAAAGGAGAAAAGTTTCAAATACTGAACAGCTCGTAAGTTGGGGAGGGCAAGGGGTAGCGTACAAGCCTCTTGACTGGGAAAGCGTCCAGTGTACAGCCCGCATCTCCTCAGATACCGGAAATGCAAAGAGCTTTGCTAGCTCACTGCCTCACAGCAGTATAATTTGAGAGCAGTAAGGATGTAGTGCAATAGCACACGGCACTGTGTGCTGAGGGGCTTTTTAGAGGATGCTGTAGTCGCAGAGTGTATGTTTTTAAGTTGAGATTTTAGTTTAAGAGCTGTGGAGCTCCAGCAGCACCCTCCACAGCACCTGGCGTCTGCACAAATCTACACTTAAGTCATGGGTGCCCAGCGTGGCTGCATCCTTTGAGTTTTGCACCAGCTAAGCCCATGCTTCAGGCGAGCAACAAGTTCCTTCTGTTTTCACAACTGCTAAGCATTCCACGGCTTGAGCCTGTGGAGGCGTTTCTCTGTAATGAAAATTTTGGAGGAACTAAATCTCTGAGAAGAAAGAAGAAGCAATTTCACCCACTCCCGAATGACTACAGTGCAGGCATTTTTGGTGTGGCAGCTAGGGACAGCAGTGACACAGCAGGCCACTTGCCTCTAGTCCTCCCTTTAACCTCCGTATGTGAGTGAATACGGGTTGCGTTGTGCTGTGCTGTTTTCTCTTCAGACTGAGCCAGTGCACATGCATGAGTGCTCTCTGGAAAACCCAGGCTTCCGAGAAGATGGCGTCGCCCCTCACCAGTCGCCAGGCCTGCTGTGTCCACCTGAGTACTTCCGGGTGCTGAGCGCTCCCAGCGGGAGGTTGTGCCGTGCGACCACCTCTGGTTGCTTCTCTGCTGCTCTCTGAGAAAACTGGATTATGTGGTGGTGAGCGGTCTTCAAGACCAGCTCTTTCGCTTTCCCCAGAGATGAGCACAGAGAGGGTAATCACCAGGACCACAGACTCCCTTAGAAACGACCTCCCTGGGGCTGCTTCCTGGGATGCCCTCAGCTCTCAGGACCATATAGGACAACAAGCGCCCTTTTAACAGCAAGACCCCGGGACTGTTCTTTCAGACATCAAATGGTGCTCTCTCCATAGCCACCAGGCTTTGTTTTGTTTTGTTTCATTATTATTAATGTCCTCACTAACAAAGGTGTAAGTTTTCTAAATTTGTTGAAATACATGTAGAAAAGTACACCTATCAACAGCGGCATGACAGTACAACATGGCACTAACTGTATAACAGTGTGAATATATTTTCTGCCAGGTGTATTTACACTTCTAAAAAAGCTTGCATATAATTTACCACAATTTTTTTAAAATCTACAGTTTACTGAAGAACTGAAAGGGCACCTGCCCTCCCCCACCCCAGTAGATGTCTTTTGCACAGGAATTTTTTAAAAATAGTAAACAGCTGCCAGTTATTGAAAGCTCCTTATGTAGCAGCCGTGTGCTAAGTTACAAAAGCTCCAGTTGATTCTTCATGACAACTGTGTGGGGTATGTGTTGTGGGCTTCATTTGACATCGGAGGGGTTGTAGGCCCAGCTCAGGGAACCCCATGTGCCCTGAGCTGCCAGACCCAGAGCCCATGCTACGATGTGAGGGCCAGGAGCATCAGGTGTGATCTTGGGAAAACCCAGATCCCCCTTCAAAGTCAGTGGGGGACACTCGAGGTGCACGCAGATTTGGACAGTTGGCTGGATGGACAGCTGGGCAAGAAGAGGAAAGCATTCGGCTTTGATCTCTTACGATTTTTAAGTCTTTATTGTTAGTTTGATTCTTAGATAAATGCTTCCTGTCAGTCTGAACTTTGAATTCTGAAATACACACCATGTCCCCACCCCGTTCTCTAAATGGTGGCATTTGTTAAAAATTTAAAATGGTTTGTAAGTTTAAAAAGTAAGTAGCAAGAAGTTCATTTCTTTATGCTCCCAGCAGATCTGTGTGTCAGGTTGTAGGACTCTGGGAAAGGCAGCTCCTGTGGAAGTCACATTCCTGATGTGTTCCTTTGTTCATCTAGAAAGGACCTACTTTAGAGTTGTCATACTGAGTCTTGGAGCAGCACTGAAGGGGAGGACCCAGCCTGTGCTATTTTGTGATTTGCATGTATGGCCTTGGGGTTTACAGAGGCTTTTGGGCCTCAGCCCCTCTCCTCTTGTTTGTCTTAGAAAAACCATCACAAAGGTTTTTCTCTCCGAATGTTTTTAACCAGTGGAATTCAGCATCCCATGTGCCACTTGAATGCCCTTTTTCAAGGTTATGGAAAAGAAAAATAAGATCTATGTACCGTATATGCTATCCTGAAGGCAAGAGTAATAACAGGAAGGAGAAAAACAGGGAAGGAAAACAAAGCGCAAACGTAGAAGCAGATGGCAGGCGGCTCCTCCCTCTCCCAGCCTCCCAGCCTCCCAGCCTCTGGCTCTCAGGGCTGACAGGGAGGGCCAAGGCTGTGCTCTCCCTGGGCAGCTGCCACACCTAACGTGTGTCCTCCCACTCCTTCCCCTTCAGAGGCCCTGGGGTTTTTGTTGTGGAGGGGCAGCATCCACTCTGGCTAGGGTTGCACAGATGTGCCCAAGGCCTAGAGCTGCTGCTGCTCGGGTGGCGTTCCTGGAGCCCAGTGCAGCTCAGGGTGGAGGATCCTCAGGGCACTACTCACCTTGAACCCATGTGACACAGTGCACGAGTTCATCCGTGTTAGCCCTGTTCTCACATCTCAGGAGCAGTGAGTTACTGTCTCAGAGCAGTGATGCTCTAAGAAGTGCACGGAGTGCAGTGGTGGGCTTTGCTTCAGGGACTGTTCACGGTTCTTTTTTATCATGAAAATAAATCCTGGTTTCAAGACCCACCCAAACATTTGATAAAACTGTTACAGCTAGGTTCTGTGAAACTAAGATGGGCAGTGACCAAATTTAGAAGGAATCCATCAAATGATAATAAAAATGTGCCGTGGCTGGGCAGCTCAGGGCTGACTTCAGCTGGCAGTGGCCACCTCCTAGCTCTGGGAGGCGTCCCAGCTGCTGGGACCACAAGCCCTGTGAACAACCTTGGGGTTGGGAACAGGTTTTTTAAAGCTGTTAGAAAAACTTAGAAGCCTCTACACCAGCTCCAGGACTAAAATTATGTATTTGATCAGATTAGCATAACAAAGAATATCCTACCAAATGTCAGTGAATGGAAAGATCTGATCCATAAGAGCAGTTTAAAGAAGTGCAGATTTCATAATGCTAATTGCCCACAATAACTCAAGTCGAACAGTGAAAGGCATATGATCCTGTTCTCCTAAGCCAGTGTGACTTGTAGGGTGGATTATTTATTTGTAGGAGAATTGGTGATTCTAGTACATTAAAAAGATTTGTACACTTGCTCAATTACTTCTGATGTTTTTTATGTGCAGCAGCCCAGTGGGAATGGACTGTGAGATAAATGTAGTAAAATGTGATGTTTGCCAATTTTGCCAATAATTCATCAAGTCTCTGCCACTTGGATCTCCTTGTATGGACAAAGTGACCTGGATGGCCTAGGAACGGAGAAGTCAGGGATGATACCTTTCTCATGAGTAAACAGGATCTCTTGTAAGATTAGGGGGTTACATAAGAAAGTCGTAAACTCTCGGTGCAGGACTTAGGACAAGCCGATAGTTCATTCTAGTCTGTACTGAACTATTTAGGTACCTGCGTCAAAATGAGGTAGTCGGCGCTTCAATTTGAATCAGAAATTGTTTTGGTTTCCTGCTCCATGTTAACATCCTCACAGCCCCTGAGTTCACGCTAGGCTTTCTTTTACTCAGTTTAATTCACTGAGAACTAACTTGATGAAGGTTATTGGACATTAAAAAATAAGCCTGTGCTACAAACATTTCCTTTTTCTCTCGCCATTTTGGAGCATTTCCCAGGATGGGGGATTGAGGGAAGAGATGGGTATTGTTTTTTCCTGTGATAAAATGTCTCCATCTAGTGGACTATCAGAGCATTAAACATTGTCAAAGTATTAAAGTGAAACTATTACCCCCAAAGCCATTTCTGTGTGTAATTTTAAACAAAGTAAGCACATGTATATGGTCTTACAGATTTACAACCGCATGTGTTTCTTTTGGGGTGTAAAGAAATGGGACCAATACAACTGGATTTAAGTTTATGGCCTAAAGACTATGAGAACCATTATCTGTCTTTTGATTGATGCTTTTTTGTTTAATAGGGTAAAAAGGAGAGATTAAAAACTAGGCATACGTTTTTAAAATCCCTACCAGCACCCCACTTTCTGTGAGCTATTCTTCCCCACAGCTGTGCCCACAATGGCTTATCATCATTGTGCCATGGCTTTAGGAAGACCTGCGTGATACCTTGTCACATTGTTCTGAGGCACCATCGTAGGTAACCCTAGAAGGCTCAGGTACATGGGGCTGGCTAGTCAGTGTGGGGAGGATCACTCCCCATCTTATATTTTCTTCCCTAACTTTGAAATAGAGTCTGGCCAAAAGTGGTCATTTTAAAGATGGTGGGAGGTTTTTTATGTGTTTGTTTGTTTTCTGTTTTTTTTTTGTTTGTTTGTTTTTGTTTTTTTTTTGTGGTTAGCACAGCCTGCCCAACTGCAGTCCCTGAGAGTTTGCCTAAGCTTGCCTAAGCAGGCCCTTTAGACCGCTGAGCTATCTCACCAGCCCCAACAGTGGGAGTTTTTGCTCAAATTTCTTGCCACCTTCAAGGACCAAAAAGTGGAGAAAGAAGGTGCTGGACCTGTGGTAGCAGAGCCTGAGGTATCTTGCTGGAGGGCAGTCATGTTGCTCCTGACTGCAGGCTGGAGGAGGGACACCTCACACACCTGGCCCGTGGCCATCACCTACTTGTTATTAATGAAAAGAGGCACACACTCCATCTTTGCTTTTTGTCACATGTGAACCTATAGGAATCTAAGCATGCAAACTTACACTGTCTAATTTACTTAGTGCTTTCCAGCTCAGAGTAGTGTGTCAGGCCCTCTTCACCTCTCCTGAGCTCTCCAGGATAAAGACACACCATGGTGTGGACTATAGGGCTGTGGCTGACCACCACATACCCCTGCCAGTGTTCGTACCTCCCCTGCCAGTGCCCAACCACCATCCCACCCTTGCCCATGAGCAGGCCGGTGCTGGAAATAGTTGATGGGATAACCCCAGACTGCAGATGCCCAAGCAAGGCCTGTCCTGTTGTAGTCCCGAAACTTCCACCTTTCAGAAAGGCGTGTCTCCGTGGCAATAGTAAGGCAGGTAGGTATTCAGAGGGGCACCATCCCTCCCCCAGAGCATCTGCAGCCACCATGGTTTTCTAAAGGAGCCCGAGGATGGATTTCCCTCCCTGATGTCCAAGTCTGCCTCTTCCCAGGCAGACTGCCTACCCAACGAGAGAACTGGCTCATAAGTGACTTTATAAACCATAACTTGCAGGGACAGGGGCAGGGGCAGGGGTGTGTCAGAGTCTGGAGGAAAGGAGCAGCAAGGGGACTGAATAACTCAGTAACTATCTCAGATTTTTCACCACTTCAGGCTATCAGAAGATGAAACTGGAAACATTTTAACATCTTTCTCTTTTCTTTCCAGGGAAGGAGACTGGTGGGAAGCCCGCTCCTTGACAACTGGAGAGACAGGTTACATTCCCAGCAATTATGTGGCACCAGTTGACTCCATCCAAGCAGAAGAGTATGTTTTATTTTGTTTTCACTTAACTGCATGCTTTTAAAAGTTAGTTGCCTCAGTAAAGTGCCATTAACATTTGGCAAAAGGAAGAAAAAATTCACTTGTTAGGAAATGACTGGTGAGGCTGTGGTAGTTCTGTTTCCCAGGTGTTATGCCTTGGTTTTTGTCCTGTCTCTGCAGTGCTTGGACTATTACTAACTTAATATTTCCCTCTAAGCCTGCTCACTTTTTAATTTTTACTTATTTTGAAAGGAAATTTTATTTTAGCATCCCTAATGAAACTCAATATAATTTATAGATTAAAAGGCACTCATAAAAATATGATGAGATTCTCACTACTGCATACATTATTGGCAGCCAGATTGGCCTACAGTCTGCTCCCTAGGGGAAGAGAAAATAATTGCTGAAGATTAAAATAAGATCTCTTTTTCCTTGTTGTAATCAGAAATATTAAAAGTGCCAAAAAAATCATACCACAGTGAAAGTATGTCACGCCCAGTCCTTCCACAACTTTGGGAATCCTATAGTGATGGATTTCCAGTGATCTGTCCTTTGACTAAGGTCTCAGTTGTTTTTGATAGTAAATAGCGATAAGCAAATATTTGACCCAAATATTCCACTGAGAGGCATTCAGAAAGGTGGTCAGTAGACTGAGAGGTTCTAGAAGGGACGATCACTGTCCCTTCTGGCCCGTGGGGTGAGCAGGCACTTGCAAAGGCTGACTGTCATAGCTTGTGCCACCCCTGACTCTGGGGCAGTGATTTCCCAAATGTGGGAAATTTGCCTCTTCCTTGACACCTCAGGGACTTGATTCACCAGAAGAAGGGTAGAAGAAAGTCAGCCAGTAAGCCCAACCTTTGGCTCTGCTATTTAATTTTGCCATGGATTTGCTTAAGCACTGCAAGAAAGATTAGGCGCTACCCCTAGCCAAATCCCCAACTAGCTCCGGCGCTTATCTTTAATTCCCTTGTACTTCCTCTTCTTTTAAAAAAAAAAAGTATTTTGTTTTCCCCTCTCAAATACCCAGTGGTTCTGAGGTGGGTTTTTTGTTTTTGTTTTTTTTTTCCTAGTAAATGTATTTCACCGTCAGTGAGAAAGGGCATTTGTATTTTAGGACAGATTTGCAAACATCTGTGTTGTTTCAGAATAAAACCCCCACCAAAATGTAGCATGACTTTGATTTAAACTAGAAAGCCAAAGTTTTACTTATAATGATTGGTTTAATTTTGTTTTAAAAGAATAAAGTATTTTTAAGGGCTGGAAAGATAGCTCAGTGGTCTAAAGCACCTTCTTAGGCAAGCTTAGGCAGATGTACAGGGACTGCGGTTCGATCCCCAGCATCACATGCCACACCAGCCATGCCCCCCATGGTGGACTGAGCTGGCCACCAAAAAATATATATATAAAATAATAAAATAAAATATTTTTAAATAATGCCTATGCTTTTACATAGACAGTCAACTAGTGTTATCTTGAAATATTATTGTCTAGGTGCAGTGCACTGTTGTAGAAAGTCCCTGTTGACCTTGTTTTACACAGTATTTCAATTGGATTATTGATACAAACTCAGAAAGACAATTCTCACAGATAATTGGTGTAATAGTCTTTGTTTCAGTAATGCTAGATTAGGGCTGGTGACACTTTTGGGTACTTCTGAAATCTATGAAGAGCTAACACGTGCTGTTTTTTCTGATCTTCAGTGAAATTCTTTCATTCACAAAAATTTTGACCGTGAACACATAATAGCTATGTTGAAGTATAATGAATTGAAACTTCATTTAAGAGTCTGGATCCTTTCAGAGTTCAGTACTCTAAAAATTGTTCCTAGGGGCTGGGGAGATAGCTCAGTAGAATAAGTGCTTGCAAGGTCCTGAGTTCAATTCCCAGTTCTGCTAAATAAATAAATAAATAAATAAATAAAAATTGTTCCTAGATTCCAATGGAATGCTCTAGAATTCTCTATGGGTTCCTGAGCGCTCCTGCTCATTCAGCACCTAGTGCAGAAGTGTAAACCAGTTGCCAGGAGACAGGCTTACAAGGGCAGGGAGAAGATAAGAGACAGCAGTAACCCTAAGGCAGTGCCTCCTAAAGTGGCACAAAGCATAATTAATTTAGGAAATATTAAAATACCTACACCAGCAAGTCACTTTTTTTTTTTTTTTT